ATGCAGCTCAACATCTACCCCGAACTTGGCTATGGCAAAAGGATGCACTAGCATGCACAGAGAATTGTGAACATCTCCTCCATGTTGTTGTCGTCGTCGTCGTCGTCGTCGTCGTCGTTGTTGTTCGATGTTCTTGGACAGAAGTCTGGCATTTGGGCGCAGGCCGCTGCCGCACGCAAGACTGCAGGATAGCAGGAAAGCAGCAAAATGACAGTAGAAAGGACCGCAGCAATGACATTCGGCCGCACAGAACAGCAAAACAGACGTACGGAAGCCGTGTCGGACTGGAGAGCTTTTGCCGTCAATAGCTGCGCGCACATGTGCGTGCAGCATTGCTGCACAGATTTTGCACGTGGTGTTGACAAGGGAGATCCGACGATGGCTAGAAGGGTGACTGGGTGCTCTTTCTTTCTGAAATATCAAGTCTGCATTGGTAAGGCTGCATGCATCTGCAGAGGTAGCGAGCTGAAAGACTTGGTTGCAAGAGTCCCCGAGAGAAGTTGGCAACAGCAAGCTTCCATGACTCTACAGGTGGTCCCAACCCTCATTGACATCAGCATATATCAGCACTGAGAGACACAGCAGCAAGGATGTGAGGCGGGCAAGTTTACTGGAAGGGGGCTTCAGCAAGCAGCAAGGTCAGCTGTCAGGGGCAACTGTCGCCCACTTGCGCTTCAACCCACATTCAGAGTCAAAAGTTACTGGAAGTTCGCGACTTGCATGCTCCATCCAAGGTTTGGGATTGCAAACAAGCTTTTCGGCGTCGATATCGTTCAGGATGACGATGCCGCAGAGAGTCCCGTGTTGGCACTTAGCGGGAGCAGTGTGCAGATCGCCTGGAAGTGCAAGTTGCCGCGCGCACTGATGCCTGATGCTTTGGCTGGCTTCCCGCAAGGATGGCATCCAGATGTCATGTTCTTCAAGGTGAAGGACGCTGACACCAGAGACCACATTGCTGATTGCCTGAGCTCAACTTCTGCCTCTCCAGTGAGCGATAGCCAATGTAACCAACCCCTAGATCATGCGGAAAATCGCAGGTATAGCTCAATCCGCTGGCACTGGACAAGGATACCCTTTATCGCCCTTTTTGTTCATGCTTGTGATGACCTGTGGATGCAGATACTTAAGATAGCCGGACACGTTATCATCAGTCGAATTCCCCTTTAGATGATAATAGGATTGACTATGTCAATGATACCACGTTATTATCTCAATGGAATTGGGGAATACGTGAGCTATTGAACTTGACGGAAAGAATCTTATGCCGGTATGGGTCTGAATCGAGTTGGGCAAGCTGTCTTACTGCTCACCTTCCAGATCGCACGAAGCCGCATGTCTTCGCAAGGATGTAAACATACAGCGCGAAACTCTGAACAAGATGCGAGACGTTCGCGGCACCTGGTTTAGAGGAAATGCGTATTGGAAGAGACAACAGCAAGCAGCAGGAATTGGAAGCTGACATATAGTATTTGATGCTATAGTACGCAGTAAACTTCTGTATGGTTTAGAAGCCGTTCACATGACACAGGCTGTAGCCAACAGACTTGACTCTCTCCAGTACAGGGGTTTACGTAAGATATCTACGCCCTCCAAATTTGTCAATCGCGCCAATACCAAGAGAGGACTTCTTGACGTCGCAACTGCGATTGTTTTGAAAAACGACGGGACCGTCTGAAAATTGTATCATGCAGCATCCACCATGATGAAGTGAGATCCAAATTGCTAGGTCACGTTTTGAGGTGCGACAGTACTGACCTTTGCGTCAAGTCTCGTTTATCCACAATTCATGTATCATTTTTCCCACAATCTACAAATAGAGTGGACTTTGATAGGAATATGCCCGGTTGTCCCAGATAAGATAGACTTGGCTGGCTTACAGCAAGAAGTATGGTTACGAAGAGACAATGACACTTGTAAATTATTCCGCAAAGTATGACCAGGATAGCTTCATGTCTGATGCAGCCCTAATGGGCATCCCTATTGTAAAACGCGTGCATTTCAACCTGGATTGTTGTTTGTCATCCCGCGTCAGCGCCTTGCATTTTACAGTCAGAGACTTGATAGTCCATACAGGGTAGGGCTGAACAAAAAATGGATCATATCGGGCGGACACAACTTTCTTGGCTCACGCTGAACATCCTGTACAACGAAAGGGGAAACCAAACAAACAACCGCAATGCAGCCAACGGTGGTGTCGAAGAGGTGCTAATCAACTAGGCATTCTGTTGATTCCAGGCGAAAATGCCGGAAAACAGTTGGGGAGAGGATAAAGCACGATAACCCCGAGACCCTGTCCAGGTAAAGAATATCAACCGGAGCTCATATCAGCACCTTGAGGGTCTCAACCCCGCGGCCGAAATTGTGCACGACTCCCATGAGCGTAGCTGCCAAGGCTTCTTTTTTCCTGGATCCTTATGCTCGCCCTGGGGAGATGCTTGGAGTATGAACTGGACATCTCTTGCTGATGTTTCTGGCCGCTTGACGATGTGATGGATGGCCAGAAGCAAAGGAAACGGGGAGGAGCATGGATGGACGACTGCCTGGGGCGCTCCAAGGCCAGAAATGCTGCTGCATGTTTCGCAGAGATCCTATGCCATGAGAGGCAATTGGGACAAAGCCTGTGGCATACTTGACATGCAACGGTTGCTGGGCTTATTGGATGACCCTGACTGCCTGGCTACATGAAGCAGCTGAGCGTGATAGACTTCCTTCACCTGCCAGTCAGGTTCTCCACCTGTCGGCACAAAGCCTTCATTGCGCTTTGACGGAAGCTTCTGGATGTTTCTGTTGTCCGGACGAGTGTTTCATGACCGCCCAAAAAAATGCCTTGGGGGAGGTTCGCTAAATTTGTACGCAGAACATCAACACCTCAGGATGACTTTCTCAGAGGCGGAGACCTTATTCCACGAATTTGGTCATGGCCTTCAGCACATGCTGACTCACGTGGAGGACTTGGGGTGTTTGGGCGCTGATGGAAGCTTCCAGCCATCAAAGTAGCATCACGCGTATGTCTGACTGGTTCAGGATGGCGATTGTGCTGGCATCAACAACGTTGAGTGGGACGCAGTGGACGCATGCCTGTTTGTCAGACTTTGCCGTGACCTCACGCTTGTCTTGCGACATGGCTGTTTCTGAGGAGCTTCCCTCCCAATTCATGGAGAATTGGCTCTACCACAAGCCCACGGTGGATTCCTTCGCTGTGCATTACGAGACTGGAGAACCGCTGCCAGCAGACATTTTCGAAAAGATCAAAGGACCCGCGCTCTATTTGCCCCCATAAAGTTCATGTGCCTGTCAATTCATGTTCCCCTTCGCTTGGTGGAAGGCAGCCGGATTTTCATGGCCGCCTCAATGATGCTTCGGCAGCTGCAGTCACTTTGCGAGTCTAAGGAGTCCTGAAGACTCAAGACTTGAGACATACCGTTGCAATTCATAGATGTTCAGGCCCCATTATGGAAAGGTTGTGCTGGGGCTTCCGTCGCCGATGGCTTTTTGTGATGTCCCTCAGGTTTGGTGCATTGGACATGGAGCTTCATTCCCAATACGATCCAGTACCTGGGTTTGGTTTCAGGAGTGGCCCCGACTTGGGTCTTAGAATTGCCGCTAAGCAAGTGCTTTTGAAACCTCAGGCCTGCCATGCAACCTTTGTCCGCTTCCCTAAGGATGGCTCAGAGAGCTTCCTGGATGTTCAGAAGCGGATGGCTGGCAAATTCCAGTGACTCAGCTCAACATCAATCTGGAGTCTGAGTTCGAATACATTTTGTCGGCCACGTTGTCTTGAGGATCCTCCCGCCACTAGAGGAGGACCGATTCCTGTGTGGGCAGCTGAGGGAAGCTGCTGAGGAGTATATATATATATATATAGGTTGGCTGACATGTTGATCTGCCGTCCAGCCAGCCAGCCCCAGTCCAGGTTCCTTCAGTCATATCTTTGCTGGCGGCTACGCAGCGGGCTACTACTCCTACAAGTGGGCCGAGGCCGCATGCCTCACCTTGCAAGTTTCAGGTCTAAGGCTTGCGCATGTGGGCTGCAGACCGCTGCAGGTGCTATCAGCAGATGCCTTCGCTGCCTTTGAGGAGGCAGGCCTGGACAACGAGGCACCACACGACACTGACGTCCAAGCTCGTCTCAGCTCTGCTTCCCTCGAAGATGCAGATGAGCTGGCAGCCAGGATGCTTTGCGCACCGTCGGCCGCCGCTTCCGAGAGACAGCAGCTGGGCCGGACCAGCTGTACTTGTAGGTAGAGGTTCGTAGAGCAGTTGGACTATCCGGGTTCCGAGAGAGAGAAAGAGAGCCGGAAAAACAAGCAAAAACAAGGTTTAAAGAAGCAACTAGGACTCCACACACAAGATCCTGGAATTCCAGCTTTTTTGTGCGAAGAATTACAACAATCAATCAGACAGAAAAACAAGACGAAGAAAAAGAAGGAGCCGAATAACAACAACTAAAAGATATAAGAAATAGTGGAGTGCAGACCACGGAAGATCGGACAGATAATTCCCGGCATTTCCCATGGTGTTCTTTGTGAATCAGAGAGGCTCAACAATTGAGGGAATGTAGGTCACATCACGCGATATCTTGCCACAAGCAAGGCAATGTGTACCCAGCTCTGGGGGAGCAGGATCATTAGGTTCGATAGTGGTTCGATGTGGTGCAAGACTGGACAAGTGAGAGCCCCATCTACTGTAAATCATGTAGACGTGCACAGCAGGACACATGCCATAGCTAGTTCGAGCAAGGAGTAAGGTCATGTGAAGAACCAATGCAGTTCTTGGGGATGGGGGTCCGCGGAGCACGGATAGGAGGGCGGGAGAATGTAGATTGATTCTTCCTATTTCTTCCTCCTACAGCGCTCCGGTCCTTTATGGTGCCGACCACATTGCCTGGGACAGCTTGGGCTGGCGGGTCAGCCCCTGCGCCCTTTTCACGGGGGGCATGCAGCCTATAGAGATAGGGCAAGAACAACAACAAGCCAGAAAAAAGATATACGCAACAACCAAGAAATTACAAGATGGAACTCCAGGAAACAACATGCTGAAAGCCAAGCTCACGCGTTCTTGTATTTGTGATGGAAATCAAGCTTCCACAAGAAAGAAGTCAGGAAGGAGAACGCATGTAGGAAAGATACTGAATGATGAAGAGAAAGAAACAAAGGCAGGAAGAAATTACAAAGCAATATGATGATAAAAAGAAATCGTAAGCACACATGTACATTCAGGAAGGCTTGCATAACAACAGAAAAGACAAAAGAGAGAACCCACCCAGGAGAGAAAGAAACAACGACATGAAGACATGAAGACAAACACAACAAAGGACTAGTTCAAGAAGGAAAGACAGAAGCAAGGAACGATACTAACAAACGGAAGCAAACTAATGAAGAGAGATAGAAGCCATACTAAAAGCAAAAAGAACATGAATCGAAAGAGTGACCTACATAAAGAGCCAGCAAAAGAAACGATGGCAAACACAACAAGAAGCAACACGAATGCAGAGACACCACGATATCCGATTTCTTACGACTCCTGAAAAAACAAAGCTTGAGGCGCCATGCCTTGCAAACATACCAGCTGAGCAATAGCATGTTCTCAGTTTCATCCGTGTGTTGAAGATGGAAGAGGCTGCAACGCCCGGCAAGTCCCAGAAAGAGAAGCAACAGATTTTGTGTGTTCATCTTTGTCAATGTTGTGCACGGGGGGGCTGGGCCCTTTTTCCCCCTCCCGCGCTCTTTTTACACCCAACGCCGTGTCTGGCCAGTTCTATCAAGGCCAGAAACCATTGTTCTCATGTTCGTCCATGTTCTGCAAAGTTTGGGACACGCACCCTCAGCAACTCCGCTTTTCTGCTAGCAACCACACTGCCTAACAAATCCCACTCGAGCCAGTCAAGAAGATACTTGTGTGTAGCTTCTTCGTGCCCAACAACTTTAAAAGCAAGTACCGTGCTTGGCATATCCCATCAAAGCTCAGCAAGAGAGTTGTATTTCTGGCTGCGCAGGATACGTCCTATCAGGTTATATACTTTTTTGAAGTGCTATTTATTTCCGTTGCAAGAGTTTCAGCGGATCCCAGGTTTCTACCAGGAATTCAGTTCATTCTTAATTCTTAAGCACCACTTGTTTTTGAGCCATGAGTTGTTTTATTGGAGGCTTGATTGTTTGCTTTCTGCTTCCACTCAGTTCTAGGTGCTTGGCTGCGGCGGAGGAAGGCATCCCAGCAAGGCCTGAGTCGGCTACAAGTTGTTGTGCATTGGCAGCCTCTTTCCACCTGCTGATCACCAGCTCCCCCCCTGTCTTTGTATTTGGTAGTTGAGGAACCCCATTGACCCTAAAGCACTCTAATCCTTACTACCAGTACCCCCAAAAAGGAATTCTTATTTTGGGGAAGACCCTATTTCTTGCCAAACTTCTGTCGTGTGCCGCTACAGCCAGAGCCAAATTCGAAGTTACAATCCAGGACATGACAGCATTTCAGCAAGCAGCCCGGTTCTTGTTGCCCATCATGAGTCGAGCCGGGCTTCCAAGCAGCTGAAGCTGGCAAGAGCTACAGAGAGCATTGATTCAACAAGCTTCCCGTGCATCCAAAGGGATGCTGTGCATGCTGCAGGGTTAACAGCCCAATGCCATGTCGTCCGCAGAAGTACCTGGGCATCAGGAAACTTGACAGTTCTTTCATGTCTTGTGGCAGAGTTGGCTTCCGAGGATACTTTACAGCGGCCACGGCTGCAAATAGAGGCTTCGGTCAGATCACGTCTGCAAGTTTTCAGTTCTATTCTGGGTTTGAAGGAGGAGCCTCCTCGCGTTGAGGATGGGGCGACCATCTGCTTACACGTTCTGGGCTTGCAGCTGTGACAGCCTTCTTTACTGCCTGAAGGGGCACGGAGTGAGGCGTATGGGCGGCTGGAGGAGGTGACCGTCTCTCCATTCACGCTGCCGGCGCTTCGGCGCGAAGCCAGACGCATGGCTTGCACTGGAGCCGGTGAGCCACAATCCTTGTGAAGTGACAACAAGTGGAGTCGCATCTGTCAACGACGTCGTTAAAATGGTGGAATCTCTGAAAAGTTTGATTTTGAAGTCTACACGATATTGTAAGGGCGCGTTTTCGACTTGCCGAATGCCGATGTGCTCATCAAAGGCGCGATGTGCAGTTTGCTCCATAGAGGTACGGAGAAGCAACTACCTCTCTCGCTTGATCCAATGCTGTCATATGCTGTCATATGCTCGGCATTCATTCTGGATTATGCTGGATTCAGGCTGTCTGACGCTTCACATTCCAATATATGTGATCTACACTCCAAGAAATGTGCTTCATGACAGAATCTCACTGTGGTAGGTTTTATCTCGTCGCTACGCGCGGCCCAAACTTAATCGTGGATCATTCGGCAATAGGGAAGGTCATGATGGCGCTCATTGTAAGAAGTTCCGCCAGCATAGCCAACATAGGCTTCTTTGTAGTACCTGAAACGTCGAACCATTTTGCCCATGAGAATCATTTCCAAGTCAGTTTCTTGTCTCCCGAAGATAGATGCAGCAATCTGGAAACGAAGCTTGCAAGCTCTTCGAAGAGTTTTAAGTCTCTTACGTTCGCTCAAGAGACCTTCGTTTGTCATTTGAATTTGAGGGCAACATGTTGCCGAGTAAATTACATGAAGTGTACGGCTTTCTTCCGTCTGCTTTTCATGGCAGTGCATCTGGCGCGATGTAATTTAACGCAGCGTTGGATCGCTACCCTGTCCTTTGGAACAGTCACATGACCGCTTAGACCACTAATGTGGTAACGCCTTCCATCCGGAATTGTGAACATTTCTAGACATGCCGGCTGGTGCCTTGATCATAAGCTCCGAGGGCGGTCCCAATCCATGGCCTGACTGATGCGTAGTGGACCGTCCAGGCAGAAGCTAAGTGTAAAGTGTAGATCCTGATGGGCCTCTATGTATCTCTTTCTGCCTCAAGATGTAAGGGAGAAGAGTGATGAGAAACAAACAAGTAAACAGAGCACGAGAGCGAGGGAGAGAAGAAGAAGAAGAAGAAGAGAAGAAGCAGAAGAATAATAATGAGAAGAAGAAAAGAGACTGGCAGAGAGCCATTTTGCAGCACACTGTAAACAGTGTACATAGGGAACCTGAAGGCTGGAGCCCACTGTGTGGAGGATTGCAGATGTCGAGAGATCTGCGAAAGCCTCGAGATGTGGGCATCGTGATGGATAGGGGCGCTTGCATCCTCGCACGTTCAACCTTTCCTCAGCTGCAAAGTTTTGTGTGCAGTTTTTCCCGCATAAACATCCAAATTTTCGTGGGTTGTAGGGGTGTGTGCTTGAATTAATGGGAGAGGGAAGACGTGGTCTATGAGACAGCTTCGGGAGCTCTGATGCCTCTTTGCCAAACAAACCTTGGGCAAAGGCGATGCGCGCATGAGGACGGAGCAGTAAGAAGAGGGAGGGACAGAAGTTGACAGCAGAAGAAGAGGTGAGACTAAGAGCTGTGTGTCCTTAAGCTCCAACTTGTTGTGCGGATGGGGAAGGGGCCACGGGGATAACGTTGATGCTCCCCTCACACATGGCCTGCAAAAGAAGAAGAGAGCCATTTCAAGTCAATTGTCGGGCCCTGATTTTTTTGGGCGGTGCTGCTTAAAATTGATCTTCCGTCTGGGCGAGGTCTTGGGGGGGTCAGGGCTACGTGGTTCGCCCGTGAAACTTAAAACCATTTCCCAATGAAGGTAAACCTACTTCCCTCAATAAAAGGTGACGTTTAAGCTGGGGGAATATCTCTTAGTAGGGGAACTTACTTCGTTATGCGGAGTAGCAGTACCAGTATCAGCAACAATAGCAGTGGCAGTACCAGCAGCAGTACCAGCAGCAGCAGCAGCAGCAGCAGCAGCAGCAGCAGCAGCAGCAGCAGTAGCGGCAACAGCAACAGCAGTGCTGCCTCAGCTATTGCTGTTGTAGTAGGCGAGGAATCGCTAGTTGAAGATTCGTCACAAACGTCAGCTAAGGACACGGTAGCTGAGTGTTGGCAGCGTTGTGGGTAAGGATTATGTGAGGGCTATATAGAGGTTACATAAGGACGTGAGTATTTAAAAGCAGTGGCTCAGATAGCTCTTTAATGCTCTTTACACAAAGAAGTACAGAGATAAATCAAACATGTCACGAAAGCTAGCTCCTTGGAGCTTGCCAGATTTTCTGTTTACCAGTATTGTCGCTGGGCTATGGACAACTCTGCGACCACTTGGTCCGATGTATCAGAGAT